CCCCCCCCAAAACCCATTCCCCAGTCCCATTCCCGTCTCCCAACCCCAGGTCCAGTGCCAGTCCCTATCCCACTCCTAGTCCCAGCTACTTAACCAAACTGGTGAATCTTAAGCGAGTCAGTCAGACTGAAGATACAGGTAAAACTTACTGATAGTAGCAGGCATTTGTTTTCCTTGATCGCTCCCATGCAGCCCAGAAAAGCCACCACCATGGTGACTGTTCCTATGACGATCAGAGTGTTGGCTATGGAGAGAGACGGCAGGCTGGAGAGCAAAGCTCCAAAGTTATTCAAGGTCAGCAGGTAGATTCCAAATCCCAGGATAGCACATCCACTGATCTGAAAGAGATGAGTATACAGTGTCACTACAATGGGAGATAGCTAGCTCACCTCCTCAAACCGTTACATCATTATGCGCACCCTGTACCATCCAATAGACCTTTGGATCCATGTCAATATCCCAATGCAGCTTCTTCAATTAGACATTTACCCAACATCTGGAAACCCCTTGAAAACGTCCCCTACTCTGAGATGGAGTCAGAAACGTCAGAGATTTTGAATGTACTTAACTTAATAGCTAGCCAGGAAAGGTTAGAGGAATCAAAACCTGCTCCAACTCCTGGCTAACTACAAAACTGACCCCTGCCCCAAACTCACCATGTATAAACTCTCATGATATAGACTCCGCCAGTACCCCCTCAGCCCATCAAACATCCTCCAGCTACACTAAAGCCCTCCCACAGGCAACCAGCAATGACTCCCATCCTGACTCCTCCCACCCAACGCTCCTGTCTTGTGCCCTGTGGATACTGGACATGTTGCAGGGATGCAGAGGATGAGCTCTCACTACAGCTTTCCCAGCCTTGGACCTGGTCTTGTTGCCACTGTGTTTTTGTTGGTAGTCCAGTTGAGTTTTTGGTCAATGGAAACACCCAGGATATTGGTAATTGGGGATTTCAGTGATGGTACCACCATTCAGTGTTATAGGGCAACTATTAAAGTCTCTCTTGTTGGAGATGATCATTGCCTGCATTTGTGGGGCACATATATTACTTTCCACTTTTCAGCCAGAACCTGACCTTGCTGCAGATGGACACAGACTGCTTCTGTACCTGTGTGGTCACAGATAGTACTGAACATTGGGTGATTATCAACAATGAGAGGTGATTCCATTGAAACATATAGGATTCTTAAGAGGCTCGACAGGGTAAATGCTGAAAAGATGTTTCCCCTCATGGAAGAGTCTAGGACCAGGGGGCATAGTTTGAATTAAGAGGCACCAATTTCAGACTGAGATGAGGAGGAACTTCTTCACTCAGAGAGTTGTGATTCTCTGGCCAACTGTGGATTAGAACTTTGTTCTATCTACTGTTCCAACAGGAATCTGCACTTACCCAAAATAGTAAGTTGAACACGAACAGCATATATTTCAGAGACTTCAAGCATGCTTCTGCCATTTTGAGGTTTCCACTGCAATCGAAAGGACAGTGTTACTCCTTAATTATATAAACACAGCCCAAACCCACAAGCACAACCCAGCACCATGTATACAGACCAATCCTACAACACAGTCCATTCCATAAGCCAGCCTGATCCAATTTACACAGCCCAATATCAGAAATGCAGTCTGGTTCCTTAATCACAGTCTAGCATCAGACAAAATTCGGTTCCATAAACACACCCAGCATATAAACACAGCCTGATCCCATAAACACAACCCAGTGTCAGAAAAGCAGTCTGGTTCTATAAACACAAGTCAGTATATAAACACAGTCTGGCCCCATTTACACAGCCTTGTTCCATATACACAGTCCTGTCTCACACACAGCCCGATCCTATAAGCACAGTTTAGAATAAATACAGAATGGAGCAGCATTATTAATGAATTGTTACAGTGTTCAAGGACGCAATTCATGCCAGCTCTCTACCGGTATTATTCCCTTGATATAATCTATTCTAACCCTTCATTATTGTGAACATTTCAGTTAAAATATACTCTCAATCTTCTATAAGCAGAGCAACTCCAGTGTCTGCAAATGAACCATGAATACGCTCATTTCTGAAAACATTCTCACCAATCTTTTATCACTCTCTCATGGTTTCTGATCCTTTCTAAAAGCTGTTTATATTTTCTAACCAGAAATGTTACTATACACCTCTGGCACAGGTGGGACTTCAGCTTGGGGTCTCCTGGCTCAGAGGTAGGGACACAACCACTGTGCCACAAGAACCCTTCTGAAAGCTGGCACCCAGCAATCGACACAATCTCCAGTTGAGGTTGTTGTGGGATTTTATAAAGTAGCATCTAAACATCCTTAATTTTCTACAATATGCCTCACTTGTAAAAGCCAAGATCCCATTTGCTTTTATAGCCATTTTCTCAACCTATTTAGTGTTTTTTGTACATTCACCCTCAGGTCCCTCTGCCCCTGCACTCCCTTTACAATTGTACCCTTTGTTTTATATTGTCTTTCCTCATTTCCCTATCAAAATCAATCACTTTGCACTTCAGCACATGAAGTTTCAGGTGCATTCCCAACCCTCCAGCCTATTGATAGCCTCTTGAAGTCTATCACTACCCTCCTCCCAGTTCACAACACTTGAAGTGGCCAGTAAGCAGAGGAGCCCACTATCTTGGATGGTTGGACCAATTTTATATTCAGTGCTCTTTTGATTGTCTAGCTATTAGGTGTTACATGTATATTCTTCAGGCTGTTCTGTTTTCACTAGGTTGCCAATCCTAAAATTCAACATTTTCCTAGTGTGGGCAGACTCACTTTCTTCAGTGCCATAACACTTCTTTATTTGCACTTGTATACGTGTTATTGAATGCAGCTATCTATACAGTGCTTTCCTTTTGTTTTCTAAACTGTCTCATTATTTTGTCTGTGTTGTCAGTTATGTAATTACTGTGAGTATATTCTTAGATTATCTTAGATTATCTCCACTTGAGGTTCATCTCCTACTTGGTATACATAATTCCACCAACTTGTTCTGTAATTCATACATGGCCATTATTATCACTGCCATCGTTATCAGCATCCCGTTCTCTATTATTCCTCAGAGTCCAAATCTCAATGGTAAAAATGCTTTGGAACTCTGACTGGTCACCCCAATCTGGTTTGCTTGATTTCCATTACGAAGGTGATGATTTCCTTGCATTCCTGGGACTGAATGGAAATCAATGCAGTACATATTCTGCCTTTGATTCATTCTCTTGGATTTTGTTCTTCTTCCCTACAATGACAATATCTTTCTGATGTCACCTTTTCAAAAGCTTCCTATGTTAGGTTAGTCTCTGCTCCTGGAGGACAGATCTATCATGCCACCACACTGCGTCCCACTTCCCTCTCCATCTAACTCCACTCTTCCTTCGAGCACAGTGCTATGCTCTAGATACAGCATGCGCCTCAACTATATAATAAAGTCTGTTGTTCCTCAGGCACAGGCTCGATTGCTGTCAGTCCCCCAACCTGCAGCTCCACTGTTTTCTGATGTAAATACCTTGACCTTGACTAGCCAATCCTCACCTACTGTCATCTCTCCAATTCAGTATCCACTGTGCCCCTCCAGAATAGGACAAGAGCCCTAGAGTAACAATCCAGAGAATGTGGCTACAGTTCTCAATCTGCCAGTTTCATCAGAGTAAAATCTCGACATAAATAGCTGTTATTGGTGAGCATTAGGCTGTCAGATTGTCATTAAAAGCTCTCTTCTTCACTAGAGAAGGAAATCTGCCATTATCACCGAGTCTAGCCTACATATGACTCCCAAATCCAGGATACTGTGATGGACTCTTAGCTGCCCTCTGGCAACACTGCTTCAGTTGTTGTTTCAAAATTGTTACAGGATCCACCAGCATCCTTGCCGTGTAACCATGAAAACACGATAAATGTCAGCTTTCTCATCAATTTCCGAGTAAATGAAAGGACGTCACTGTTTTACTCCCCACCACAACCGTTATCTCCATAGCCATGCCCATGGGTCTTGACAACGTTTCCAACATTAAGCTGTAGAACTTTCTACAGCTCAGCATTAACAGGTCAAAGTACATTCTTCAGCTCATTTCAGAATCTCTAATTTCATCTCCAAAGGTTTGTAACTGCAGGCCTCTGCTTGACTTCTCTGAGTTTCCAATCCCACAGTTCACCCATCACTTGAACTGTCAGCCTTCAGTAATATTCCCCCATTTCCACACCATACCCCTATGACCCTGAAATCTTTGTTCATTGCTTTGTCAGCTCTAGGCTCAAAGACTGTAGGGTTCTGCCCTCTGTGAATGTCATGCTGTCTATTAAGAATTCTGCTGAACCTTAAACCTGCCTTTGTGGACCTCCAGTTACATCCACTGGTTAATCCACAGCCCTGTGCACAGATTCCGCTGAGTCCTTACTCCCCCTGCTCCTGACAGCAGGCCCTTCACCCGGGCCACCAGTTACTGATCCTGCTCTTACTCCAAGTCTGGGTCATCACTAACATCACTACACTTCAATTCCTTACCTAGCTACCCCTCTGCTTGGCTACATCAATGCCCTCCTGTGGGTTGGACATTATCATTGCATGATGGGAAATCTCAAGGCCATGCTACTATCTCACTGAACCTGTAGACTCATCAGTTTCTTGCTTGCCCTATTCCAAGAGGTTACTATGGGCAACCGTCCTGGGAACACTCAGCTGTACCCGTTCTTCAGGGTAGCTAACATTAATACAGCAAATTGCAGAATCATTTCTCCTGTGTGAGCTGAAGCTTGAGGATAGTTTGCCATTCGGTGGCAATGACAGATGTTGATGCTCTTCACCAGCACCCACAAGGAATTAACAGGTACAGATGACTGCAACTCACCATCCAACAGCCCTCACCACAAACAGCTTGTACTTTTGTATGACAGTCTCCTGGACCAAGCTGCCTGCTGCTTCCCACTTGGCTGATCAGACAAAGGATAATTACCATCCGATACACCTTTGAACAGCGGCTTGGAGGTCAGCCATGACTCAGTAGGAAATTTCTCACCTCTGAATCAGACAGTCGCAAGTTGTAAAAGTGCCCGCGTCTGCTAGGCTCACACTCTCGGGTAGACGCTGTTCTGTAGGAGGTGCCATCACTCAGGGTGAGGTGTCAAACCAAGATTCCACCTGTCCTGTTTGCTGGTCGGTTAATCAAAGCAAAACATTGTTTAAGGAAGAGTAAAGGAGTTCCCTCCTGGTGTCCTGAATAATATCTATTCCCTGTGCCACATCACAAGCAAACATGGTCATCTATTTCATTGGGACAGTGGTGCAAACGTTGGCTGCCATTTTTTTACATTATGTCTGTAACTACACCCCAATACAAGAAGCTACACAGCACAGTGGAACAATTGAGAGAGTGAAAAGCTTCAAGCCTCAGCTTAATCAAGAAAAGTGCAGAGGATGCTTGGCGTATCAGTACTGATGGGAGGCTGCAGCCTTCAGCCTGGAGGTTTCTGTTCTGACTACCCCACCCAAGCAGGCAGCCACCTCCTCTCTAAGTGAGAGGCCACTTCCTGCTTCTACTTCCTGCCTGAAAAGAAAATTCCCTGATCTGCTCCGAGTTCAACACATGAAAAAGCAAAAGGGCCCAGTGAGCATGCTGTGCACAAAGGAGCAAAGCACCTTCTCTCTAACTCAGAGTTCAACCTCTGCCATACATTGTATAGTGTCTCAAGAGTGAGGAGGATGGGATCAATGCTGCAATTCCTGTAACATTTCACATTCCTTTATGGATTCAGGACTCACTGGGTGGGATATGTTGTGTGGCTAATGAACTTCTAAACCCGTCAGATTACAATAAGGTCAATGATATTGAGAGAGGCCTGCAGTGGAAACACCTTAATACTCAAAATGAGGAGAGAGGGGATGGCTGGTATCGTTTGCAGTGATCCTTCAAATATATTTGTACACGTTATGTTTATGGAATCTAGCTTTTATTTCAAACTACTGTCAATAGGTATATAGATATATATGGTTATGATAGTAGCTGTATGTTTAAAATATAGATATCCATATACTACCTTCTATAGGTACATCTGCCAACTTTACCACCACTGTTGCTTGACATTAATGCCCACCCTGCAGTTGGAGGTTAATTAATTAACAGCTATTAATAGGAAGGCTCACAGCCAGAGTAATAACATGACCTGTCTTCATCCTTCCTGATGGGTGTGGAATTTACCACTGAATCATGACTACAAAATGTCTCTGACATTTGACTCAGATGTGAAAGGGACTTTTTGACAAACGCAGTTAGCTCAGAACCAACCGATTATAATTTCTTAGAAGCAAAGGAAGTGCTTGAGGGTGGAGGGGAGGAATTTCAGAGGGGAAGCTGTCCAAATTTGGGACCTGAGGACACAATTGGCTCAAAGGAAGAGCCACCACTGTACCCTTAAAATGAAGTCGAAAATGTGTCTCACTCTGTAACCAATCTGTGGCGCAACTGAAAGGGTAAGCGT